GGGTCTATGCAATCATTGGCTGCCCCATCAAGCAGCAGCACGAGACTTCGCTGTGTTTCTCCGGTGTGTCGTAGCCATGTTGTATGTTCAAGAGAAAACGATTTGGCGAAATGTTCCGTGAACTTTTGGTCGTTATTTGTAATACCCCTCTCAAAAGCACCGCCACACCAACCAAACAAAAATGCCCAGGCATTTTTTCGGCCATTTTTTCTAGCACAGAGCGAGCGATTGGTACTACAGCAGCTATGCCTACGGCTGTAGACTGTATGTAGTACGCACCCCATGCATCGATCCACAAGCATTCCCTTCAACAGCGATCTTTGTTCCAGGAGCAGCTGGCAGGCGCGGTGGTGCCAGACTTGAGGCGGACAACGGAACTATTCCCGGTCGTCGCACCTACGCAATATGCTATGTCTATGCGGATAATTTGTCGTGTAGGAAGAGTGTTGCACTCTTTTCGCGTGACCAATCGAACGCAAGAACAGCAGGAGGTGTGTTGGGACAAGAGGCGTTNGACAAGAGTCGGACGTCCCGGGCAGAGAGAAGGATCCGTGGTCGTTTTCACAATCATGCGAACCCGACCACAGGGAAGAAACAAGGGACCACGTAGGGTTAGGATACACGCGGCAGCGATGTTTTCTAACCGTTGCTTTTCAGGGGCATGCAGGAGGCTCGTCCGTTCATAACCGCGCGTGTCGGAGGACCACCAGGCGTCCTGGCACGTGCAATCGGCAGCCACCAATGGCTCCATTTCGCGGGGAGGTACTCCGAACCCAACTCGCCTCCGCCGAAGCCTTTGATTCCTGCGCAACGCACCCACAGTTCCATCTACCCATGAGCTACACGGGTACAAAAACATGGGAGCGAGCGATCAAATGCAACGGGTTACAGCAGTAGGATCCGCGGTGAAGACGCCGCCAGCCTAGAAGCACACAGTCACGCACACGCAAAAAAGTCACGGTGAGAACGACAAAGGTTACCCCGCGCATGACGCAATTTTTCTGCGGGTTGAACGGAAAACTGCCCTGCGAACATTGAAATGCAACGATGTTCTTGTAACCGTGATGTCATTGGCCATGTCCTCTTGCGTCGCCACCAGTGGGCAAGCCACCGAACTCCTGAAGGAAGTTTTGTACCTTGCATACAAATATCTGTGGTCTAGAGCGACAAAGACAAGGAAATCGAAGTCAAATTATTGCGCCAATCGACGGTACATCCAGTGAGCTTATGATACCGGTAAAACACAGGTCGCATTAAAACCGTATTAGACTATCCCGGCACATCCATGCTGTGTACGGCGGGACAGTGTTCGTGCTCGGGTTCTCCAGGGTTGAACCACCCCCCACGTAAAGTCAACATTCTCAATTTCAGGCTCCGGTGAAGCCCTTCGGCAAGCCGACCGACAACAAGCGTTGAATTAAATGTATGTTCCCGTCTCAGGGCCGTGAAGGGAGGCACGGAAGACCACGGGGATGATATTGCATGGGGAGCTTCATATCCACATCATCGCAGAATGCATGCACTCCTGTTCTCTGTGTCGTTGACTCCGACAATCTAGCACGCTCATCGCCCAAGGCTTGCTACCTATACGTACCACGTATATACGTAAAAGCACCATTGGCTTGTACCAACGGCATTTCTGTCAGCATTAGTGAGATGACATGCACTCGAAGTACTTCAGAGCGCGGTGATGGAGGCTTGAAGCCCTCTCTCTCCACACTCCACCCCGGCCGACCGCCACCTTCCCGCCCCGATAGCGGTCTCCCGTTTCCGGGAAGTCCCATGTACAAGCGTGTTTTCGGAGCCCGGATGTTTCTTGTTCTTGTCCCCTGTTTACTTTCCCGGGAGGTTTCTCTTCCTCTGCTCGTTAAATCGCGTTGCTCATTAAGATTTAAGCATCGTAGAATGTCCCCAGCTGGAAGATTTGTACCCGGTATCAAGAGGTCCTCCGGAAGGGTTGTCGACATCGAGGTGTCTGTTGAAATCGAAACGTGTCTATTGTGCATGGCAAGATGGTGGGTATGATAAGATCCACAGCAACCGACCTCATTCATTACCGTTGCACAAGATTCGCCTCGAGGCGTGCTCAAGCTTCTCATGGTTGCGGTGAAATACAGATTCGAACATGGATTACTTAGTCGGTGTTGTTTCCTTGGTCGACATGTTGCCTGCCACATCTCTTTCTCTGGGGCCGTTCGTTTTCTGGTTGATTCTGTCGTCGCGTTGTCAAGGTTTTTCTTGGCCCTTTCTTCGTGCTCGGTAACCGATTGTTCATGCGGTGCCGACCCTGTAACGAGTTTGGAACCTTGTTCGAAGTTGGGCCTCAGATTTCAAAATAGTGAGGAAAGGCCGGAAGAATTGCGCTCATCTGATGGAGGAACCGGAGAAAACAGAAATCCCACGCTACCAACCTTATTATGACAGCAAACGTGTGATGTCGTGTTAGCCATGGAGAGAAGAAACTACCTCTGACCCTTGGCACAGCTCGACAGCGATCATGACCTCGACCCAAAGAGGACGACGTCACTGCGATGCAGCATCCGGACAGTTTTCGTCTTCAGGATTCCCCTCCAGCGAAAGTAGGCCGCGGGTTGATCAAGCGTATTGTCTGCGCTTGTGGTAGGTGTGGTTTGGGTGGTTCCTGGGGTACGTCAAGTCGGCGAGTTCCCCAACAAATAGCCACTTTGCACGACTACCGTGTGATGTTGGCTTGTAACCGAAGCATCATTAACTTGAAGCACACATCTATGCAGAAAAGACGAGGCGTACGCAGCCGTGGGTGCATGGGTTTTGATCGAGCAGATTGACGGTGGCGACGAGTCGGCGGCACGCCTGTAGGGTAGGGTAGCAGGGCGCGGATGGTTCCCCAGCGTTCGCAACAGTGACCAGGGATGAATGAGGATACGAAAATTCGGGCTCACTTGACGACTGAGTTTCGAACGAGAAGGGGTACGGATACATTTTCCGCCCTCCCGGACGATGACTTAGTGCTTCCAGAGGTTCTTGCAGGAGCCCAAACGTACCTGTAGATATGCCCACGCAACAGGAGTAATGCAAGGTTCGAGTTGAAACGGATTGCTGACACATTGTGCGGGTGCTTTGGGTTGTCAGATATGAAGAAATGGGAGAGAAAGAAAAGCAGCTCACATTGCTGCGGGGCGTTGAGCGTCGCCCACAACAGGTATTTCTTGCGGGCGAGCCGACATCGTGCAGCGTTTCCCGCCAGAGGTCTTGGGTTTCGGCGATCAGGCCCCATTCTTGACGGCTCACGATAGAGAGCGTCAGGCGGCGTTGGTCGAACAAGTCTTTTTGCGTATCGTTTCGATTGAATGAGAAAACAAGATGCTGATTGAGTGAGAACGACATACCTAGATCGATTGTATGCGGCACGGCACAAGTCAACACGGATTCATTGCAGGTCGTGCTCTATACACGACTTAAAACCCCGGGGGAAGGAAGCCAAGGGGTATGCAGGTCCGAGTAGGAGCAAAACGTTGGGTGGTTGGTGTGCGCAATATGCGTAAATGGAACAAATTTCTGTGTTGACGATTGTGGTCCAGGCCAGCATGACTGGTTTGCTGGCTTTCGCTTGAGTACTTGGGTCAAGGCCATTGGCACGAGCGGCGCGGCTTCAGCCATGCGCGAGGATTACGTGTGTTATATGCCCGGGAAACGCGAGAACAACTTTTATTCGCACGCAACAAGCGACTGCAGCGTGTACCGTGTACGGTGTGGCTTTACCGGGAATGCCCGGGTAAAGATGAGCTCACGGCGAGCTGTTGGTTGCTTTTCCGCGCGTGTTTGTGTTTCTCTCGAGACAATGAGCACATGGTTTATTATTGTGAGCTGGATATAATCTACGTTAGCTTTGTGAGCGGTTCTCAACCACTGATGAACGGGAAGTCTTATTCCTTTGCTGGTTACTCTCGATATCCTACTTTATTGCGCTTTGCTGCAGATACAGCAATGTGTTGAGAATCGCAACCGTTCTTACATCCACCTGCCCACCGTTGTTTGTTAAGATGGCGGTGCCAACCTCATGGAGCGATCCGAGTGAAAGCCTGAGAAGGAAGATGATGTTTTTCACCTAGGCGTTTTTACCGCAACCCGGCCCTATGCACTCGTGTTTTTTCTACCTCCGATGCACCCTTCACGTTTTTTTTCGCGTGATAGACGCAACACGGTTTGGCAACCTTGGGCGGCGACCTCCGTTCTGGTCTAGGCGCCATTGGCACGGCGGTCATGGCGGAAGCCACGGGAATTCGTGCCGACGTCCGCGAGGTCAAGCGTGACTTGGCGAGCGTGCGTGAGAGCGTTGAAGTCTGCCGTGCGGAGAACATGGAGTTCTTC